CCGGTCCGATCCAAATCGGTTCCTATCCGGTAACGAATGGACCGGGCGGAACTTTTGGGAATTTCTGGTGTTCTGGTAAGACCCGGTTTCGATATCGATTCTGGTAAAACCGGTCCTGTTGATCCGGTCCTGTCCAATTGTCAGCCTTACCCACATCCCATAAGATGTAATGTTTAGTGATATTATATTTCATCCATCTCAATTTATGTGACATTTTTCAAATTTTAAGATTCAAATAAGTTTATCTTTGATCGTTAATTTTTTGTATATCTTTTAAATATCTTGAATTGTCAATTATTGTGATTTATGAAACTTTTTACTTAGTTTACAAATATATAAATTTAATTTCAAAAAATTTGAAGATTCCATGCGCAAATTGCCGATCAAAGTTAAGTTGTTTAACTCTCGAAAAACGAAAAATGCAACATAAATTGAGACATGGGAAGTACTCCCTATGTCCCTAATTACTTGTCTACATTTTCTTTTTTAGTTGTCCCAAATTACTTGTCCATTTTGACAAATCAAGAAAGGACAAAAAAAAAATTTACCCATTATACCCTCAATTAATTACTTTGAAAATAGTAGAACTAGTTTTTAATCCATCCACTTCATAATTAATAGGGGATGGTAAACTCACTAAATCAATTATTATTTTCTTAATAGGTATGTCAACTCAAAAGTAGACAAGTAATTAGGGACAAAGGGAGTACTTATTTTGGGCTTTCTTTGTTGTTGTGTTTGAAGAAAAAATATTATTTTCATTTAGAATATAATTAAATAATAAAATTCAGAATATTTCACATTTCATTACTAATACTAAAATTTAATTGATAATAAATATGCTTTAAATATTGTTCATTACTAATATTTAAAAATAATATAAAAAATATGATCGACACTCAAAATTATACACATATTATTTTAAAATTATGTACAAAGTACTATAAATTATAATTATTAACGAATTAAAATATTAAAAAATCATATTAAAATTGATTGACTCTCTGAATTCTATATGTGCCACATAAATTAGGATAGAAGAAGAAACATATATTATTTTAAAATGACGTAAAAATACTGTAAGCCATAATAATTAACAATTCAATTATTTTTAGAAAAAATATATACAATACTTGTCTGACTCTTCAAATTTCATTTGTGTCATATAAATTGAGACATATAATTGTCGGCACGAGCTCATGTATGCATACAAGGATAATTTGATAGTTTATTCTTATATATTTGAAAATTATGATAATAATACTTTAAACCACAATAATTAATAGGTTAAAATATTTAAAAGTCATATAAAAAATTAATTGACTTTCAAAATTCTATAAGTACTATAAATTAAAATAAGTAACAACTTAAGAATTTCAAAAGACATAAAAAATTTGGTTGGCTCTCTAAAATATATCAACGTCACATAAAAGTAACATATATTATTCAAAGATTACGTAAAATATTTCACAAATTACAGTAACTAACAACTTGAAATATTTAAAATACATAAAAATGATTAATTTTAGAAATTCTAGACATAAATTGGGACAACGAAATGATATATATTATTTTAAAATTATGTAAAAAATAATTCTAAATCATAATAATTAATAACTTAAAATATTATTAAAAATCGTATAAAAATTTAAATAGTTTCTCAAGTTTCAATCGTATCACATAAATTAAAATAAAAAAATAATATATATTGGGCCCCGTGGCACGGGGCGTATCTAGTATGAACAAGAAAAGCCATAAAACATAGGGAATCGTGTTTGTTAATTGAGACTAGTCTTTTTACTAAATTAATCTTTACTTTTGATTTTTTATAAATTTTTTCTATATTTTCAAATTAACGTTTTCGATCAAAATTGTACATTTATATTAATCATAGATTAATTATGATTAATCGAATTATATATACATGACCAAAACTAAAATATATTCTGAAACACAGGAACTAAAATTGTTATACCCTAAGGGCTCGTTTGGTGTGAGGGATTTGAAATAATAGTGATGGGATAAGGAAATAGTGATGGGATAAAAAAAAAATTATGTTGTTTGGTTGGCAAGTCCGGGATAACTTATCCCGGGATTAATAATTAGTACCGGGATAAGTTATCCCTCCCCATGGGTGGTATAGTAATCCCAGGATAACTTATCCCGAGATAGAATAGGTAAATGACAAATATGTCCCTTTAAATCCTTTTTATATATCATTTTTTACATTTATGTATATTTACATTTTTTTTAATACCATGTATAATAATATTTACTACTCCTTATTTTTATGATAATTATACATATTTTTCTATTAAAAAATTATACTATATAAATATAATTTTTATTTATGAATTTATTTGACTAATTCTTATGTTTATTTTATTTTGATTTCTCATAAATTTTCTTCTCTTTAATAAACTTAAGAGGAAAGTTCTATTTTTAAGCTAAATAAGAAAAAAGTTATATTTTTAAATACACATGGTACTTATCATGGGAATACATAAACAAAAATATTTAAGTTAAAAAAAATAAAAGTTTTATTTTAAAAAATGAATAACTAAAGCTCACAAAGAAAAATTTAAAAAGTTTAAATAAAGTGAAGGGTAATTTTGTAAACAAACAACTTGTTCTTAAAATTTATCAATATATATTATTTTGAATATAACAAACCAAACACTCAATAAGAAATAATCCCAGGACAACTTATCCCATCATAACTAATCCCAACATAACTTATCCCAACATAACTTATCCCATCATAACTCATATTCAAACCAAACGACCCCTAAGGGGTTATTTGGTGTAATGGATAAGAGAAAATAGTCATGGGATAACTTTTTAGTGCCTCTTTGTTTCTTGTTTGGTTACAAAGTATGGGATAACTTATCCCAGGATTAATAAATAGTACTGGGATAAGTTATCCCTTCCTCTTGGTGGAATAACAATACCAAGATAACTTATCCTAGAATAAAACAATCAAAATGACAAGAATATCCTTGAAATCTATTTGATTATCACTTTTCATATATTTATTCCACATTTGTAAAGTTGTTGAATTATTTTTGCTGCTCATGAGATGTTGTTTTGATAAATTTCAAATAAATCTATAATTTTAGTTTGATAAAATTATTCAACTGTTTGAGTCCTTTTTGAACTTTGTTTCTTTTGCAATTGGTTAAAAAGTTATTTTTACAACGAGAAATGTTATCAAATTTACCAATTTTCAATTCAATTATGGTTATTGTTATTGTGCAGTTTTTGCTCCACTTTTGATTCATTTATATTTGTCTAATTTTTTTGCTTATAACGGTAAAGAAAAGATGCTCCCCACTAGCCTCAATAGCTTGCTCCAATTTTGATTCATGTGGATAGTAAACTTGTCAATAATTGAGATTCATTTGATTTTATTTTTAAGAGTGAGTAACTAAAAGCTTTATAAAAAACTATATATAAAAAGCTAAATAAGATAGAGGGTATTTTCGTAAACAAATACTCCCTCTGTCCCAATTTATGTGACACATTTCATTTTTCGAGAGTCAAACAGTTTAAGTTTGAAGGAGAATTTGCTCATGGAATCTTCAATTTTTTAAAAATGAAATTTATATATTTGTAAACTACATTAAATATAAGTCTCAATAATTGATAATTGAAAATATTAAAAAGATATATGAAAAAATTACGGTCAAAGATAAACTTGTTTGAATCTCGAAATCCGAAATGTGTCATATAAATTGGGACAGAGGGAGTAACTAATTCTTAGAAAGTATCCAATGCTTATTAGTTATAATACAACAAACCAAACAAGCAATAAAAACTAATCCTAACATAACTTATCCCATCATAACTTATCCCATCATAACTTGTTTTCAAACCAAACGACCCCTAAAGCTATATATGAAAAAGGGAAAAGGGCTAAAAATACCCCTAGACTAATTGAAAAGATTTAAATATGCCCCTCATTCATTTATTTGGTTAAAAATATCCCTCAATCTAACAATCCTTTTTAAAATTATTGTTATTCTTATTTTTTAATTAGGTGACATCTTCCTATTGGATAAAAAAATAATTTTCGACCTATCAAATCTTTCTTGACCCAATTCAAAGAACTTGTTCATTAATTTTTTTTTCCAGCAAAATGAAAATTTCTAGTTAGGATGATAAAATTTATCCAAATTTCTACCACCACCCAAAACAAAATCTTCCAATTCAGAAAAAAACATTCATTACAATTCTTGGATTTGTTTGTATAATGTGTTAGAAGCAGAAATGGGTTTAAAAGGTGAATTAAAGGGTATTTTTAACCAAAGAAATGAATGCGGGATATATTTAAGTTTTTTCAGATAATGCATGAATATTTTTATCCTCTTCCCGTGTGCAATAATAGAGTTCCAACTTAATTATCACGTGGACTTATAAGAAACCGATGCTGGATGATAATTATTTAAAAAAACAAGCAAGTCGGGGTCAGTACAGCTTGCTGAATAGGAGAAATTAAAGATAGCAACCAGGAAAAGTTAAGAGCTTTCGGCTCCTCCGTCCAATTATAACCGTCCACTATATATATTTGAGACTCGTATTGAGAAACAATAAATAATAAGAATGATATTACTATATTACCTTTTGAATATATTAAATTTAATGCTTTGAAAAATATATTTGATAATGAATAATATCGAATAGCAGCAAGAATAAAATAGACACAAACAAGTAAAATTACTCATTGATCTTTCAAATTAGACAAGTATTATCGGACATCTACTTTTAGTATAGTAAACAAGTAAAGATCGGATGAAGAGAGTAATAAAGAAGCAGCAAGCGTAAGTACCTTGCCAAACTAATTAACTAACAAGCACATCTTTTTCTTTTTTATCAAATATTAATAAAAATAATTTATATTAATATGAAGAAAAAAAAGGTTTTAGTTTGCTATCTTTTTGATCACTCGTTTGCTATAAATAGGTGGAGGAGGACAGACACTCTTCACCCCAAAATTAAAAGAAAAAAAGGCAGTACTAATTAATTATCCATCATGGCTGTTCACAAGGAAGTTAATTTCGTTGCTTACCTACTAATTGTTCTTGGTAAGATTTTCCTTTACTCCTTTTTTTTTTTAAAAATAAAATAAAAAATAAAAAATTCTTGCTTTATACATATATATACACAAGTAGTTTTATATTTTTCCTTTATATTATATTTGTTTGTAGGATTATTGGTACTTGTAAGCGCGATGGAGCATGTTGATGCGAAGGCTTGCACTTTAGAATGTGGTAATCTTGGGTTTGGGATATGCCCACGTTCAGAAGGAAGTCCGGAAAATCGCATATGCACCAACTGTTGTGCAGGTTATAAAGGTTGCAATTATTATAGTGCAAATGGGGCTTTCATTTGCGAAGGAGAATCTGACCCAAAAAACCCAAATGTTTGCCCCCGAAATTGTGATACAAATATTGCCTATTCAAAATGTCTCCGTTCAGAAGGAAAATCGCTAATTTATCCCACCGGATGTACCACATGCTGCACAGGGTACAAGGGTTGCTACTATTTCGGTAAAAATGGCAAGTTTGTATGTGAAGGAGAGAGTGATGAGCCCAAGGCAAATATGTACCCTGCAATGTGACCCTAGACTTGTCCATCTTCTGGATTGGCCAACTTAATTAATGTATGAAATAAAAGGATGCACACATAGTGACATGCTAATCACTATAATGTGGGCATCAAAGTTGTGTGTTATGTGTAATTACTAGTTATCTGAATAAAAGAGAAAGAGATCATCCATATTTCTTATCCTAAATGAATGTCACGTGCCTTTATAATTCTTTGATGAACCAGATGCATTTTATTAACCAAATCCATATACATATAAATATTAATCATATATAATTAATATCAATTGGGTTAGCAAAACAAATCTAGTCTAGGTGTGTTTTGCTAATTATTGGGGGATAGTGCAGAAAGAAATCTACGTTCTCAATAATTCAGATAGAAAACTTAATAAAGTGAGATCATTTACATAGATTGCTTTTATACTTCGATATATGTGAAACCATGCATGATATAAGGAAAATAGATAGAGAAATAATTTTTACATCGTTGAATATGCAAACAATTTAATTCAAGAAGCTAGGAATATAAATATTGAGGAGTTTATGATTATTATTATTATTTTGATGTTCAATGAAGTTTTTTTAATTTCATATAGAAGTAAACAAATTTGGATCCTTCCGCTAACATAAAATTCTTCATAGATTTTTGTTTCTATGCCGTAGTTATCTTTAATATATTTGTGGTTGAAGAAATTTATTGCTAGAAACGAATGGATTGTCAAATTTTTTTTTAAAGCAAATATTTATGAAATTATACTGTATATTATTTTAGTCATGATTAAAATGTGGCCTTAATTGAATCATCTTTCTCATTCATTTTTTCAAATGCATATCAGGATGATTGATATTTATCTATTTTAAAAATTAATGTAAGGGTTCAAATTAAATTTAACTTAAAAGTGTCTTAACCGTAGTTAAAGGTTTACTTTTAAAAAATGACTATGAAAAATCTAATCTTCTATGAATCGAGAAAGAGATATAGATTTATGTTAGGAGTTAACAAAAAGATTTGTGTAATATTGGTTTGGATAAATTTGGAGTTAACGGGGGCTACGATGTTAAAAATAATAATTGTAGTTCGTCCATAAATGGGCGACTTATCTGTTTTAGTGTGTACTTTTAGAGAGGATCCCTTTTGATATTCAGAGTTCAAAACGTGTCCATTTTTTATGCCGGACTCTCCATTATTGTCCTTCAACTAGATACAATACAATAATTCCATATGAAAGATATATTATTTTATTTTTGTACACTGTATCACTCTTCATACAGGGTTATCCAATTTACGCTTGCATTGGGCCATCTGTTTAATTCATAAATATCTATTTGTAAAAGTAATTCTATCCACTTTAATTACAAAAATTAAAGTGATGGGCAAATAACCAGTTTGGTCTTTGTATTATTGGTTTGTTTCAGTTTTGATTCATGTATATTTTGATTAAGCATAATTAATCTTTAATTTATGTAAATGGGTAATTTCATCCTAAACTAATGAAATCATTAATTAAAAATAAATAAGAAAAAAAAATACATTTAAGGGTAAATGCGCTAAGAAATCTCGGGTTAATGTTCTATAACAAGAATCTGGTTGAATAATTCAATCTTATAGCTATACATAATTAATTGAAAGTTAAAATATGATATATGAAAGAGAAAAGCCATGAAGAGGGGGAGACGATAAATTTTGATCCAATTTGATTATATTTGAATTGAATGGTATGAGTGGGCGATAATGATGACTTCAACATCGTGTTTGTCTATAGAGGCTAGCCTTTCTTTTAACAAATTAATAATAATTTTTGAATATTTCTTTAAAAAAAATTCTATATTTTAAAATTAACAATTTCATTAATTTTTTAACTTGTGTTAGGGTGAAAAATTAAAATCACATGTTTATATTAATCAAATATGAATTATGTTTAGTCGAATCATATATACAGTCTATAGAGGTCAAATCTATAGTTCATGGACTAAAATTATTATTTCTCCTAAAGCCGAAATATATGCAATTGCTCCCACTTATCACATGGAGAATAAAATTATTGCTAGATAACAAATATTTCAAAGTGTTTCCGTTCAAAAGGACAGACAATAATTTATCCCACCTATTGTACGGGGTATAAGGATTGCTACTGTTTCGGTAAAAATGGCAAGTTTGTTTGTGAAGGAGAGAGTATTGAACCCAAGGCATGTACCCAGAAATGTGACCCTAAAGTTGTTTACATGACTTGTCCATCTTCTGGATTAGCCAAACTTTATCAAGTTTGCGTTAATTGTTGCACAGCCGGAGAGGATTGCAAACTCTATGGATATGATGAATCTTTAGCTTGTACTGGGGAGCCTCAGAGCTATATATCTGCATCATAAGGCAACATCAATAATATAATATAAATGAATTGTTAAAGTGTGACACCCATAAAAAGATATTTAAAATCATTAACCAGAGAGTAATCTATCATCGTTTATTTTGAATTAGAGGGAGTAACCCACTCATATGTAATTAGCTTTATCGTTTCATGTAGAAAAATAGTCACAGAACATGATTAATGTGTGCTAAAAATAATGTTTTACCATATCAATAATAAAATATTTAACTTGGGGAAATAATCACAAAACATGATTTATTTGTGTGTGCTACAAATAAAGTTTTACTATATCAACAACAAAATATTTAATGCGGAGAATAGTCACAAAACATGAGTTGCATAACTACCGATAGGGAAAAGACAAAAATATAGGATTAATTAGTGAAGCAATTAACAAAAAGTAGATGGCCACTCTTTCTCTTTTATCACATAAAGTTAATTTGTGATAATTAATTACTTAATTACTGCTCCTATCACTATACCTTCGAAGAAATTTGATAATTCATTGATTTTAAAATTTGTTAACTTTGTATATATTCAATAGAAGAAAAACATGGCTAGTACAACTTTCACTATATTTGTTGGATCCATTATTGACTCTCTAGCGTGTAAGTCCCAGATAACCTTCACTATTATCTAGTTATAACCAACAATAAAATTCAGCCACATAAATAAAGATGGAGGGAGTAACAATTATATATTAATCATTAGTAATTACGGATAGATTCACTATCGTCCTTCAACTAGATACTATTATTCCATTAATTATGCTAGTCGAATCATATATAGTTAGTACTAATATTTAACTTCAGATAGGCCAACAATAAAATTCAGCCACATAAATAAAGACGGAGGAAGTAACAATTATTAATCATCTTAGTTGGTTGGCATGTTTTATTAGTAATTACGGATAGATCCATTATTGTCCTTCAATTAGATACAATAATTCCATTAATTATGCTTAGCACTTGATTCATATTGTAACGATCGGGTTCCGTCGTTATAGAAAAGTCAACGGGGAAAAATTTTGGGTCGAAAAACTTTTTCGTAGTATTTGGATTTTCCCAATTTAGTCCAGATTTGGATGAAATCGTAGTCTTTAAGGTGTAGGGAAATCTGGTAGCAATCGGGTGATTTATTTATAATTCAGGTTACATGAGTGGTTAGATAACTCATTAAGGAATCCGTACCACTTAACGAAATTGAATTCGGGCGTGTAGAACTCCTGAAATTGATCTTAGCGTGAAGGGTATTTTCTAAGCGTCGTGGGATAGAGGTGTGTTGTGAAATGGGGATTTTGGAATTCTTGAAATAGCTCACTAGTTCGTGCAAGCCTCTTTGGCGGGGGTTTTGGCCGCTCTGGCGGGGCCGCTGAAGCGGGATGAGGGCCGTTGTGGTGGGTTTGACGCGACTTAAGGTCGTAAATAAACCCCTAAATGACCTCATTCTGCACTTTTCGACTTTGAGAGCTAAAGAACGAATCCCAGATGACTCATAACAGTTTTCCATCATTCTTGAGGCTAAATGTAAGTTTTTAACTCCCCGAATCTGTTTTTCGATTCGTAGAATGTAAATTCGTGGGTTATTATCGATGGGGGAGGGTTTTGATCTGTGATTTATGGTGGAAGAAACCCTAATCTGGGTATGAGGATCAAGAGTTTGACATAGGATTGATATTATTGATTATAATCCGAGTAATTAGGTCTCGTTTGTTAATCCTTCCGTTAATTGTATATATTTAGACCACGAACAAGCGGGAAGAATCCGGAAAGGGAAGATTCAAGTGCCTTAGGGGATTCAAGCTTGGATTCGAGGTACGTGATGGTTGTGATTTCATTTTGGTGTGATATATGGTTGTAATTGCTCATTATAATGCATATATGTATGTATGTATGCGAATATTGCATTATTGATCACCCTCATCGTAAATAGGGTTGGGCATAAACACTGAAAAATTGAAATACAAAACCGAACTGAATTTTTTTGATATTTCAGTTTTCGGTATATATTTTCATATTTTTGGTTTGGTTTTCGGTATGTAGATTTTGTATTTTTGATATTTTGGTTTAACCGAAATATGTTATATTATAATATATATTAATATTATATTAATTATTAATATTAAATAATAAATAAAATTAAGTCAGTTCTCAAATAATTAAAATCAAATTTCAATTTTCTTTTTTCAGTTTTCAATATTTTCAAACTTTACCCACTCTAGGTCAAGACGTGGATTTCTCACAGCGCCGCACGTCACTTTTCCCACGACACTTTCCCCCACTTCCCACTTCCCGGCGCCGACGACCAACGACATCAAGGCAATACTGGCCGACCGCCGCGACCAGAAACAGCCGACCAGCAGTAGTAGCAGTCGACTGACGACTAGCAGCAGCCGACCAGAGACCAGCAGCAGGTAATGTATTTGATATTTTGATTATTTTTTGTTTTCATTGAACCGAACTAACAAAAACCGAACCGAAATATTAAAAATTGAACCGAACCAAATTATTTTAGTTTGGTTTTCGGTATACCTATTACAAGAACCGAAAACCAAAAAAATAAATTGAAATCGAACCAAATTACCGAATGCCCAACCCTAATCGTAAATGAGGATAAT